ATTAGAATGATTTCTGAGCATTACGAAATGGTTGCAGCTTTGCCATTACATTTTAATATGTATTAAAATAGAAAGAGATGTTTTAAATTGTAATATATTTCACAATATTGCTGTTCTTCCTGTATTTCTGATAAAAAAAAAAGCAGCTGTGTGTGGTGAGAATAAGAGACTTCTTTCAAAAACATTAAAAAAAATCTTTCCGGCCCCAAACCTTTGAACATTATATCTTTTTTTTGGTAACACTTTACAATAAGGTTCATTAGTTAACTACCTTAGTTAACATGAACTAACAATTCTTCTTCAGCATTTATTAATTTTAGTTAATATTAATTTCAACATTTACTAATCAAAGGTTGCAGTTGTTAACATTAGTTAATGCACTGTGAACTAACATGAACAAAGATGAATAAATTCTATAACAAACGTATTGTACATTGTTAGTTCAGGTTAGTTAATACATTAACTAATGTTAACAAATTAACCTTATTGTAAAGTGTTACCAATTTTTTTTGTTTAGCTACATTTTATGTCTGTGAAATAATCACTGTCCGCAAACCTGCTTTCATAATCATCACCACAATCATTTTAGCAAAAAGTTTATATTTGTTATCATGGCACATCTCTACTAGCACAGTTCAGTGGCAGTTTTATGGTCAAAAATGTAATTTGATGATTTTTACATCATGATCATTTGTTTGACCTGCATTCAGCACACTGCCTGACTTCACTTCACGTATTAATTATTGTCGAGTTCTATCTTTGAGGTAAGTTGAGGTGCAAAGTCTGGGCTTTCACAGCAGGTTTTGATTATGTAAGATAATGAGGTTTCTCAGCTGGGCTCATCTAGAGTCTCTTATGTGAGAAAGGCTTTGTTGTAACGTACAGTCGTGTTTTGAACTCTTATCAGATCGCAGTCACAAGCTTCTCCCGTACATATCTTCTGCCCTCCCATCCTATCCCATTAGCGTCGAACCTATTCTTCAAATTCTCTCATAACCTAGCAACAATGCAAACACCTGGCCGTAGCTTTCACGAGAGTCCTCTCCAATCCGACGAGCGTGTCCCACGCGCAGCATCGCTTCCTGACCTTTCTCCGCGCTGTCTGTTGACAAGCACCTGGGCCAGTCATTCTAATCGGGGAGCCCGAGCTGCCCTGATGACGTCAGCTAGGACAAGTGCGGGCCAGCGGGACATTCTCACGGCATCGGCGTGATTCTTTTCCTGAAATCAATCCAGGGACGTATTAGATGCGAGCTGAATGTAAAGATGTACGACAGGGACTAAATCTTACGCCTGTTCATGATAGACCGGAATATTTCAAATTGAATTTGATAATCATTTAAAGGGGGTCCTATTTTTCTTTTTTACATGTTCAACTTTCTTTAGTGTGTAATGTTGCTGTTTTAGGTTACAAAGCACACAAAGTCACTCCAAAGCAAGTTCTTCTCTATACCTCCTCAGTAAGCAGTGTTTCTGAACTCCCTGAAATGCCTCCATTGTAGTCTTGAGTTTTTTTTTCATGGGAATGTACACGCCACAATGTTCCTCATTTAAATAATTCCCGTCCAAGGCGTATGCAAAAAAGGGGGGATGAGGCCTGGTTGAGTTGTGTTAGTAGTATGTTGTCACCATGTCCAAGAGACACTGTTTTTTCCAAAGGTTGTTTAGGGTTGATCAGCTTGTTGTTCTTGATTGTCATTGTCGGACTCCGTCTCAAACTGATAATGGCAAAACTGACGCTATAGTTAGCGTAGTTACAGTAGTGTTCAAAAATTGGGGGTCTGTAAGATTGTTTTTTTAATGTTTTTGAAAGTATCCTATGTTCACAAAAACTGCACTTATTTGATCCAAACTACCAGAAGATCAGTAATATTGTGACATATTATTACTAGGGATGCACGATATAGGATTTTGGCCGATATTCGATATGCCAATATTTTCAAACTAATTTTGCCCGATGCCGATACCGATACCGATATATTTGTATTTTTTTTAAGTGCAAAAAAAGCTTATTAAAGCTTCTATTAATGTTCTCAGTCAAGAGCAGTGAGTGATTTCCTCTGTTTTGTTGTTTTATTAACATTAACGGGATAGTTCTCCCAAAAATTTAAATTGTCATCATTTACTCTCTCAAGTTTCTTTCTTCTGTTGAAATTATAAAAGTTATTTGGAAGAATGTGGCTAACCAAACAGTTGCTGTACTCCAGTGACTTCCATAGTATATTTAAGCACAAGAAAGAAATGAATCCAGGTTTGAAACAACATTAGATAGACAGAATTTTTATTTCTGGGTGCAGTATCTCTTTAAAGACAAGCGGCAGAATATTATTACTGTCTCTTTAAGAACTGCACGCGAGTAACGCGACGCGTCTAATATACACGCATTTGACAAGCAGATTTTCTCTGTTTGCTTTCACTTTAGACATAACCAACTTTGTTTATGTAAACCTTGTGTGTATTTGACAGTATCAGCGCAATAAGACTCGAAAGATTAGTCCAGTATGCAGGCGCTGTGACAGGCTTTTAGTTCCTGTGAGCGTCGCGTGTACGCGCTCAGAAAAGCGGATGTTAGAACAGCGCATCAGCACGTGAATGACATGTTTACCTAGCAAGACTTTGACGCACATGCAAACAATGAACTTTTGTGAAATGCGGTGTCCCGTGAGTGTAACTCTACCTCTGCGTTTACATGTGATGTGATGTGATGTGAATGTACGTCGCGTTGTACAGTATGTTGAGATGAAGGCGCCAGAATTGAACTGATAGAATGCACGATACTATGATTTTTCTTCAAAAGCAGATAGTGGAGACATTTTAATCGCCCACGATCAAAAACCGTGAGACGCACACCCCTAGTTGGAAGTTTAAGTTGCTGGCGCTCATGCTTCGTTCACGGTCGTCACGTGCGCATAGGAAACACGCCACCCTATCGGCAAGACTCATCGGCAGAAATATTCATATCGGCCGATGCCGATGATGGTCATTTTAAGCTTTTATCGGCCGATACCGATGTTGTCCCGATATCATCGTGCATCCCTAATTATTACAATTTCAAAAACTGTTTTCTATTTTAATATACACTACCGTTCAAAAGTTTGGGGTCAGTGAGAATTTTATTTTTATTTTTTTGAGGAAAGAAATCAATACTTTTATTTATCAAGGACAGTAAAGACATTTATAATGTTACAAAAGATTCTATTTCAAACAAATGCTGTTCTTTTGAACTTCCTATTCATCAAAGAATCCAAAAAAAAAAAAAAAAAAAAAACTGTACAACTGACAGACCAACAACTGTTTCAACATTGATAATAATAATAAATGTTTCTTGAGCATCAAATCCTCATATTATACTGATTTGTGAAGGATCATTTGACACTGAAGACACTGACACTGGTGATGCTGAAAATTCAGCTTTGATCACAGGAATAAATTACACTTTACTATATATTCACACAGAAAACAGCTGATTTACACTGGAATAATATTTAATACTATAACTGATTTTTGTTGTATTTTTAATCAAATAAGTGCAGCCATGGTTAGCAGAAGAGAATTCTTTTAAAAGTATTTAAAATCGTACCGACCCCAAACTTTTGAACAGGAGTGTATTTTCAAATGTAATTTATTTCTTTGATGGAAAAGCTGAATTTTCAGCATCATTACGCCAGCTTCAGTGTCACATGATCCTTCAGAAATCATTATAATATGCGGATTTGTTGCTCAAGAAGCATTTCTTATATATACATATTATATAACAAATCTAATATTTACATTTTTATATTTATAGTATAATTATGTACAGTAATATACATGATCAAATCTAACCTGCTCCATAAAGTATGCTAATGTGATTGTTACTTCATTTGAATCACAATGTGTTACATTGCATATTACAGTTAATTTGCCATCATGGTGTTGATGCTCATTTACAGGTTCATAATTGTGTTTATAGGGTCTACTAGAATGTGTACATTATTTAATGTTCAAAAAAACACGTTGCTTTTATTATCATTTGTATTGTTGCAATTTCAAATAAATGCTGTCTTTTTTAACTTTCTATTTATTAAATAATTCTGAAAAAAAAAAATGTATAACAGTTTCCACAAATATATTAAGCAGCACAACTGTTTTCAACATAGATAATAATAAGGAATGTTTCATGAGCAGCAAATCAGCATATTAGAGTGATTTCTGAAGGATCATGTGACACTGAAGCTGGCGTAATGATGCTGAAAATTCAGCTTTTCCATCAAAGAAATAAATTACATTTGAAAATATATTAAAATAGAAAACAGTTTTTGAAATTGTAATAATATGTCACAATATTTACTGATTTTCCTGTAGTTTTGATCAAATAAGTGCAGTTTTTGAACCCCCAACTTTTGAATGGTAGTGCTTTTTTTTTTCTTTTTTTTTTTTTTTTAATCGTTGTTTTTGTATAATAAAGGATCACTGTCCGCAAAACTGCTGTCATTATCGTCACGGAAAACATTTGAGCTATTTAATCCCGAAACGTTTCTATTTTAGATATGATTGGTCATAATTTTATGATTTTTACATCATGATCACTGAGTAGGTTTATTAAGTGTCATTATTAATCTCTAAGCATTTTAAAAAATGTCTTTATATTTCCAGTTCAAAGCTATCTGGCGTATTAAACAGCCTTCTCTTAAACGGGAGAAATGTTGTTACCATCACACAGGATCAAACATCCATACCATCACGCATTATACCAGAATCCACTTGACAAATCTGAGAAAAGTTTTGACATCCATGAAACAGTTTGAAGAAGTCTTATTTTTCAAGCTTTCAAAAGTGTCCTAATTGAAGAATTACCCATATATGGCCTATTATTATTCACATAATAGGATAACATATACGTATTCATATCCCATTCTGTCTTCTAAAGCCCACCTGTGTTAAGATAGTAATCTAATAGCATTTTAGAGCCTGTATGCAGTTCCTGCCTCTAATTTGATCTTTGCTTGATTCCTTTGCAGGAGGGGGTGGGAACAGAAAAGGCAAGAGCAAGAAATGGAAACAGATGCTTCAGTTCCCTCATATAAGCCTGTGTGAGGAGTTACGTCAGACTATAGGTACACAGCTCACGTTTATATCAAATATGTCATATATGTGTTGATATGCAAGTCACATTCATGTCATATAAACTGTTCACTCGTATAGAAAAAGTTGTTTCTTTTTTTCTCTGTCATTTTATTGTGGCTGTTTTGTGGTGTCTTAAAGCTATCTGAAATGTGATTGGTATTTTCCTTGCATATTGCCATATTTCTCTGCAATCTTAAATTGCTGTGGTTCGCCTGGTAAACTATACAATGAGTGAAAAAATTACATGGATTTATATTGATGGAATGTCTTAAATAGTATAGCAGAAGTCTTAATTATCATTCTTAAATTTGGGGACAGAAAAACAGGAATCACCATATATGATTATTAATCTTCAAAAAAAACTATGATTCCATTTAATTAGATTCAAAATGTGGTGCTGCTGCGCGTTTTACAGGCTTGCGGTTTCAGAGCATTTTCTCAATTATTGAATACCTCACATTCATGCCAAGTGATTGCTTATGATGAATGTTGATGAATTACGACAGTGCTGTCTAGACTGTAACATAACTTTATGCTGTCTATACTGTAAAATATTGTGAATGGTTATGAGTGCACATTTGATCTCCCTCATCTTTTTGAATGAGCAGCTGAAAGTAAAGCATAGACATTTCAAAATAAAAATCCCAGGTGTATTTCGGGCTTGTTTATAATGAAAAGTTCCTCATTATGCCATAAATAAATAAATATTCTTCTGGTTATTATTTGTATTTTGGTCACATAATTATTGGCTAATATTAAAATTCTGTATTATTTTGTCTGAAATAAAATTATTACAAAAAAAATCATTTTAAATGCGACAATTTAAAATAATTTATTTTTATTAATTTTATGAATGTGCAGTATGAAAAAAGGGAACCAGTGTTATTATTAAAATGGTTCAGTTAATAAAAATCAGTGTGTTAACATGCACCCTCATAATGCGATTATAATGGAATTTTGGCAATATTGCGATTAAACTATCTCATCTAAACCCAATATTTCGATCAAACTTATGCGATTTAAGCTCATAATCGTAGTAACCTTATTCGCATTAAACCATGTGGCGTACACTGATTTTAATCGCAATAAACAGGCATGTTATAAATTATTACCTTAGGCCTTGTCCAACTTAATACTTTTTTGTTTGAAAACGCATCTTTTTCTCTCCGGTTTGGCCTTCCGTCCACAATTAGACGGCGTTTTTATTAATGAAAACAAAGCTATTTGAAAACGCCGTTTTCGCGTTGTAGAAGACGTTTACACGACAACAAACAATATGCTTAAAAAGGAGAAGCTTTTCCTTTGAGTTTTCCGCGTGCAGACGATACCATTGTCAAAACGATCTGTCACACGGATCTGTGAAAATAACTAAAAACGCTGTATTCTGCTGCCAGGTCATTAGATGGCGATGAAACACTATACACTGAACGCGTAATACGCATGAGCATGACGTCATCGTCTTCAGAGATTCGCGTTTTTGTTGTTTACACGGAGACCATTTTCAAAAACTTGCACTTTGAAACCCATTTTTAAAAGTTTGCGTTTTCAGCTACCCGAAAAACGCTGTTGTCGTGTAAATGAACGGCCAAAACGCATAAAAAGTTTTACGTTTTTAGTTGAAAACGGTCTTGTTTTAGGCCCCGTTTACACGAGAACGATTCCGGGTGAAAACGTAAAAATATTTTATGGGATGTGCCTTTCGTTTACATGGCAACGGCGTTTTGGGGGCTCAAAAACGCAAAAAGGTGAAACCACCCTCCAGAGTGGAAATCTTAAAAACGCTCCACCGTCGCGTTCCCGTCTAAACGGTAAAAACGCAAATCTGCTCACGGTGGCTCTCGTCGCGTACGCGTTTATGTCACATGCATGCGCAGGAAAATAACAACCAACATGTCAGATTATTTCCATACGTCGGACCTTCATGTTGCCCTAGCAGCTCTGAAAAACATACAAGAGTCTTTTCAGCAGTTGTACAAAATATTCTAAGATATTGGTGTTGTTGTGTGGCAGTGCTTCACATTGCCACCTAGCCGCCTGGAGTGCATACTACATCGAATTTCACACACTTTTGCGTCACCATATGCACGCGGATTTCCCAACCATAACGCTCGTCTAAACGCAGAATAAAAAGTGATAACGCAACGCCACTTTTGCGTTCTCTCTTCAGATCGTTTCCGTGTAAACATAGCCTTAAACAGCCCCTGAGACGACGTTTTTATTAATGAAAGCGAAGCTTTTTGAAAGCGCTTTCCAAAGTGGATAAATTTGAAAACTGCGTTTTGGTGTTGTAGTGTGGACTGTGAAACCGGAGGTACTTGAAAACGATGACGCATGTCATGTGATGCATATTGTACTAATAGATATTCATGTTTACACCGGTTATGTGCCTGTTATGTGCTATTCATTTTCACACAGTTGCTAAAATATGTTACTTTGCACACACTCTCATATCACAGTCCTGCAAAGTTGACTTCAAAATTTACTCGCATTTGCTGTCCTGTGAATGGTGTGATATTTTGCTAAATAAGTTTTCTCTTCTACAAATCGCTAAACTCTGTCAACACAACCCGGCATTGCGATGTTCACGAAACTCCAAATAATATCCAGTGCGTCCATAAAAATGTATTTTGAATTTGATGTGAGTAGATTTAAACAATGGCCGGTAACATGCATACTGTATGCCTATCTGAGTGTTGCATAACCATAATTAATTAATTAGCAAATAATCTGAATAATCAACCATCTGACTGCGATTAAGACCTTACTCTGGTTATTAGACATAATCGCATTATTGGTGCCCATGTAAACGTATGACGGCAAAGGTATGCACAATTGAATATCCAATATTGTTCTACACCAACATTTAAAAAAAATAAGTGTTTTTTGTCATGATTCCCTATACTTGCTAGGGTGTTGTCTTGGACTGGGTGGTTGCTAACAGAAACAACATAAAAACAGAAAATAATATCATGCATCCGTTGATTTAAAAAAAAAAATTAAGCACATCTATTCTCAACAAGCTGAGAGAGAGAGAGAGAGAGAGATGTTTATTTGTTACACTGATAATTTACTTGTACTTGAAAATTGAAATTGTGACATCATTTGTATTTTCACAAGTTATTTAGGTGCAAGTCTTGATATTTGTGTGTTGGAACAGGAAGTGTTTCACTCGTTGTTTATGGCATTCAAGCATAGGCGGAGCTTGTGTAAGACTGGGCAAGGTTTAGCTCTCCTCTGGCCACAGACTAAAGACTGGTGTGGAATCTTCTTACTCAATTCACTACTCACTGCTGCTGCTTCTCGTTGCTTTTAGAGCGAAGAACTGCCCATAACTGCTGGTCTAGGATCAGTTTTCACCGTAATTCTGGCGAAACAGATTTTAGCGTCAAAGGTTTCTGTTTACAACGTGTTTCGCAGCGCTGAGCAATGTTGCCAATCACAAACATATCAGATGATTTTTTGAACATAATTAGACGTGTTAAGAATCCACTCACCATTTAAAGTTCTGCACGCTCGCAAATCCTCTCATTATAAGTTAATTTATAACAAACAGAGTGTAGAAATGATGTCCTCTAAAATAAGAGATTTATTGTGCTTCATTGATTATAACGGAACTTTGTGAGATCGCGATCAATTGAGGTGACAATTTCTAGGCTTATAATCCATTCAGAATTTAAATAAAACTTTTTTTGCTGCATTGAGGCAATGGTTATTTTTTAGGGGTGTAACGATACCCTCATGTCACGATTTGATACATATCACGATGCTGAACTCACGTTTTTTCTCACACAGCAATTTGTTCTTTTTGGGCGAACTATACACAATACATATTGTCACTATCCACGATACATATTGTTGTATTTTTGCATTGCAATATATTGTGACACGTCACATTGTTACACCCCTATTATTTATTATACGGATTGGCTGCCATGCTAAATCACAAACGTAGCCGCTTTAATAACAAATCATTTATCGGGAGCATTTATGCTGGGATGTGTAGGTTGTTGCTTGATAACACGTAACTTGAAACCATTTCATGACATACTATTTAAAATGTGTTTTTAAGGAGGAAGCGCATCTAACCTTACCCTGGAGTTGGTTTACCGTCCGCCTATACAAACAAGGTGTCGCACATGTGCAGAGACTAGCGCATGCATAGATTCACACACAAAAACACATTCCCATATTGTGTTGTCTGTTCGGCTCCTTCTGTGGTCAATACATTAGTCCAGCTTTTTTGCAGTCTTTGTAAAGGTTATGCATGGAATAAATATTGTATAAAATTGTGTTATTATAAATGTAAACCGGGATGTTGAGAATGTAGGTTGGCCACAGAGTTTCATGCGTCAGTTGACAGGGTAAGTGTGCGGCTGTTGTTGAGGAGAGGAAACTGTGGCCAGGCCAGAAAGAGGAAGTTAACTGTCATTTTTTTGACGTTAGTCACTTAATTCTTCTCAAGATGAGAAAAAAAATCTGTCGATTGTGCAGTTAATGTCTTTGATTTTGCACCGGGAATGTAAAATTCAGTACATTTTGCAGATGCGTTGTGAATTGAATTGTTTAGACTTTAACATTTTTATTTACAGTATGTGTGCCGCCATGTGACCCAAATTTTGCTGAATCAGTTTCCTTTAGATGTCACATAGATGTTCTTACCAAATCTACTGTTGCAATGTGTATCTGCATGCTCTCCGCCACTGCACCTCCCAACTCAGTTCATTTTAAAAGGAAATACAACAGAGTTCAAAAACATTCATGAGTGTTAAAGTCCCCTGTAGTCAGTAATTGTATAAATCCCTTAAAACTCTAGCCTGGGAAAACCCAGACAACTTCCGGCAAATTTAGATTTGCTCTGAAAGTTAGTCTGGCAAAGAGCTCATTCAAGCCCATTTCCAATCCGTCGAAATCGAGGCACCAATCAGAAACGTTGGGCCGGGCTTTACACGATGAAGACAGCGCTGGGATTTTGAAGCAGATTTTGTAGCCT